GAGCTCAAGACAGTCACTGCTTTCCCTCTGCCATCTTGGCTCTGCCCATCCCTCCCCCACTTCTGTGGGCAAATTTACATTATCAATTTACTTAGAGGTCTGACAGATAGTTTACTTATGTTAAGGAGAACTATGTGTATACATATATATGTATAATATATATATTTATATAATATATAATGTATAATGTATATATGTCTTTATGTGTTATATGTGTGTGCACATGTATACCATGTATATAATATACACATATACATATATGTAGATAGATAAATAGATAGATAGATAGATACTGGAGTCTAAGGGTATATTCGTATGTATGTGTAGGTATATAACTAAATTCATGGTGCTGCCTTTCATATTTCATCCATAGTATTTGGTTATTGTTATAAAAGCAGTTTGACAGAGCCTTTTGGGGCAGAGTTCTCTGATGGTCTTTGGGTCAAGTGCTGATCAGGGCTCAGGGATTATAGACTCCATTCCTAGCAAAGGCTCCAGAAGACCTTAGTCTGGATGTCACTATTTGGGTATATTCTTCTCTATCATACAATATAGACTGTTAGAATTTAGTATCTTAAAGCATAAAACACAGAATGTTGGAACTACAACAAACTTTAAGACATAGAACATCAGCAAGTTATTTCCTGTCTCTGAGACTCAGAGGGGATTCGGTTCCATCTCTAACATGCTGTGTTCTAATATCTGGGAGTGGAGGGTGGGAAGCACATTAGAACATAGAACATTAGGCAAATGTGGGATCAATGCAAGGAAAGACTTCCTAACAATCAGAGCTGTCCCAAAGTGGATTGGACTCAAGGTGAAAGGGTCTCTCCATCACTGGAGGCATTCAAGTGGAGGCTGAATGACCCTTTATAGGCAATGCTGTGGAAAGAATTCCTACCCAAGTACAGGTTGACATTCAGGGGCATAAGAAATATTAGAACATAGAATGTTAAGAGCTCAAATCTAATACACTGGACATTCAGAGATAGAAGGGACATTGAATTATAGAATATTAGAGCTGGAATCTGGGACTCCCTGAGTCCCAGAAACTGAAAATAATATACTAGTGTTGGACAGTAAGTTAATGGCAGAGCTGAGACTGATACACCTTTTTACCCTTTTCAGTTTTTCTTCCTCTCTTCTTCTACCCCCTCTCACCTCATTCTTAGCCATTTCCGGCCACTAAAATATGCCTCAAGATGTCAGTCATGATCTGCCTTACCTCTTCAGCTTCTCAGTTTCCTTTGATGGTGCTGCCATTTTCCTAATCCCCTAGCCAGGGGTGAGAAACCTGCGGCCTTGAGGCCACGTGTGGCCCTCTAGGTCCTCAAGTGGGGCCCTTTGACTGAATCCAAACTTTTCAAGAAGATGCCCAACAGGTTCTGGGCACCATGGAAGTAAAAGATATATGCACTTCTTTTAGCTGCTCTTCTACACACCTGTGGGAAATAACTAAGGAATAACCCGATGGCCTAAGATGAACAAATGCATAGTGACAAGAGTGCTGGATTGGCATTCAGGTCACAGAATTTCAGAGGTGGAAGGGACTTTAGAAGTCATCTAGTGTTCATTTGGCCCTGAACATGAATCCTCTTTACAGCATTTCCAACAAACATTCGTCTGGCCTTTGTCCAATGGCCTGCACTGAAGGGGACCCCAGTGCCTCCTCAGGAGGCCTATTCCATGTTTGTGGAGTTCCAGTTGTTAGGAACCTTTTCTACAAATCAAGCCTAAAGCTGCCTCTTTATAACTTCCACTCAACGCTCATGGTTCTGCCCTCTGGGACCGAGGAGAACAAGTCCAATCCTCGTCCACAAGATGCCCCCTCTTCTTCAGGCACACATTCCTAGATTCTTCTGTCCTTCGATCCTCCTCCTTCACCTCTATTTCACCAAATCCCTCTCATTCTTTAAGGCATAGCTCAAATACCACCTTAATCATGAAGCCTTTCCTGATCTTTCAAAGTGCTAACGACTTCTTTCCAAACGTATTTGTATTTTAACTACCATGTATTTGTTTTGTATTTATTTCATGTGTATTTTTCCTGTACATATGTATATTTATGTGTTTGTTGTCTTACATTTTGAATGTAAAATACTTGAGAGTGGGGGTGGTTTCATTTTTTTGTATTTGTATCCTTACCACCTAACACAGTGTTTGGTACATAGAAGTCCCTTAAGTCCTTGTTGGTTGATTGGTTGATTAACTCATTTTCCTTTCTGACTTCTCTTTCTCAGGCTTTTTTGTTGGTTCATCATCCATATCACACCCCTAACTGTGGATGTACCCCAAGGCTCTGTCCTGGATCTTCTTCTGTTCCACTGCATTCTCTCATTTAGTGGCTTTATCAGTTCCCTTGGGTTTAATTATAATCTCCATGCAGATGACTCCCAAA